TTGCTGTGCTTCTTTGACCCAAGCCAGCAGTACTATTACTGGTAAGTTAGATGTCACTGTCCTATAAAGACAGGAAGGTCATAGCGCATGTGCCTTTGTTAGTCTGGCTAGAGATTTTTTTAAGCAATTTTTAAAAAAGCAAATTAAATTTTAAAATGAAGCAAAGTTTTAAAAATAACAAAATGCATTTTTTAAGCAAATTTAGCATTATATAAAGGCCAAGGAGGCAGGACTCCCACGTGACTTTCCAGAGGTGAATGGATCACCTATAATTAATTGCAATCTCGTTTTTTAAAAAAGCTCATCGCATCTTGCATTTTCTTTGAATTTTTTTCACTGAAAGTGCTGTATACTTGCTCCTTTTATGAGGCTACAAGGGTACTATGAGAAGTTAGGAATCTATACAATATATATAAATATTAACCTTTAATATAACTTAAATGGTAAGGTATAGTTCATCCAGGCAGGAAAATGTGTGCTTATTTGTCCATTATGTTCATTTTTCACAACATTCCACTAAAATCACATCTGTAGGCACAGGCGGGGAAGAACAATTGATTCCTTTTCCCTAAAGATGACTAGTATCTAATTTGAGAAGGATCACATTTCAATATCTGCTGTGCACGTGGCCTCAGGAACAGCGCTCGGTAATGACAGCAACTCCCTGACTTCCACAAGCACTGAAAATGTGGGAGTGTGTCCTGCAGCTCCAGACATCTCCAACACATTGCAGCAGAATCATGGACAATCAATCTGGCTTGGCCAGAGGTACAGATAATTTTAACCGTCTCCCTCCCCCCCCCCAGACCATCTAGATGGAGGCCCGGGTTCCTGGTCTTTGTCTAAACCAAAGCCTCTTTCTCAAGCGCTCCTCCCTCGCCTGTTACACAAGACAAGTTACCCTCGCCCCACTTCTACTTTCCATTTCTCTGATCAGCAGGCAGCAGTGTTGCAGCACCACTAAAATGTCATGCGTCCCTGAGCTAAGAGGGAAGAGCTGGGATCCACTGAACACATTGAGGATTCAGTCAAGATCAGCGTTCATATCATCACTTCAGTTTTCGTATTGCCTTTCTGATCCAACATAGGGAGCAAGAGGAGTTGAAATTTTTTCACCTATTTCTTAGAATTTTGTGCACTGATTTTTAGTTGGATTTCAGGATGCTCGAAAAACATGAACAATGGAAAGTGCTCACTCTGTTTGGAATATTTTAAGTCAGAGGAAATTGTCTTACTTTTCTCATGTTCTCCTTGTTGTTAAACTTGCTTTGTGTGTGTGGTACTCTTTGTGAAAGAGAAACCCTTAATTTTAGAAAGTCAGTGGACCGTTTCCCAAAAAATTTGTCATGTCTATTGTTCACCTTGAGAACATGAGACTGTGTTAACCCAGTTTATATAAACTTTAGATGCGAGCAGCTTCCTGTTTTGCCTGTAGTCAGTGCTCCAGGAACCAGGGTCCTGGATTCTAATTGCAGGGATTTCAGTGCTGCCCGACTCTCAGTGGCCAGGCAGAAGAAGGGCATGTAAGCGGTCTACCCAGGAGGCTCGCTGAGGGGGAGAAATGAGCCCTACCCAGAGATCCTTCCTGTCACATCTCAGTCCTGCAGAAGTCTGCAGTGAAACCAGTACAGCCTCCATCAACCGCTGCTGGCAGTTACGGGCCTCACACAGCAGCCTGGTGAGGTGTCTGGATCGGGCACACCTCTGACCTACCCTAGTTCTCAACTCATCCCAGTAGCTGTGACACACTGAGCGAGTTACTTACACAAATGCTTGGGCTAGGACATGGTAGTGATACCAACTTGAGAGTTAGCTGAGCATTTGAGACAGAGTATGCTGTGTCTGGCAGGATACTGAGTGCCAGAGGCTCTCCATAAGTGATACCTTTGAGAAGATGTGTTAGGTACAGCTGACTCGGGCAGAAGCGCTTGTCATTAGAAAAGACGGCACCTCCCTCGTGTAACCTGAAATCCCCAAAAGTATCTCCCTGGGGGCTGCTGACTAAAGGAACAACAGTGGCTTAAAAGGGTTCCCACACCCTGCACATTAAAGCAAGGTTTCTGGAAAAGAATAATGGATGAATTTACATACCTGCCCACTCAGGTTTAGCCCTACATTGAGAACAGAACTTCATGTTTTCTGTACCGTGTCCTTTCCATTCCTTAGCCTTTTGTATGCTGGTTCTTGATTCTTCAGTCTTCTTTCCCCGTTATACATTTAGTCATTTGTGTATTCATTCTTTCAATAGCTATGTCTTAAGTCTCTGATGTGCACCAGGTACCACGCAAGACAGAGAATAGTCCCCCTGGTCCCAGCAGCCCAGGTGTGCAGGTCCGTTCCCCTCCCCCTGCCATTGCAGGTATCACCGTGTACTCAGGCCTGCTCCTTTCATTCTCTCCACTTCTGCTCCCTTGCAGCACCCACCCCCAGCTCTCCAGTCATGCTGGGAACAGTTTCTAGACCCATTGAGCCCCCAACTTCCCTAGTAAGAGTGCATGCTCACTCTAGTAGTAAAGCATCCTACACAAACCTCCTCTTGGTGTATCCTCCATCAGCAGGAGCCGGGACTGGGAGCACCTGCAGTGACAGCACAGGGAAGGAGTGACGCAGCATATGCGGGTGGGAAGCTCGCTGTGCTCTGTGCTTGCACTGCATCTCCCATTTTAAGGTAGAAACATAGGAGAGGAGCTGGGGAGTAAATAGAGGGCCTGATGACCCAACATTGCTTGATTTTACTTTTCCAGGTCAGGAGCGTGTGGAGTAGCTTTGTGTTTTATTTGGAAGATTATGAGTTTTGAGAAGAGCAGAAGCACTGCCCTTTAAATTCCATACTAAGATGTGCCAAACCTAACAGGGATGATTTTCAAACTTTTCCTATTGGGGGGGGGGGGTAGTTTAGTAGTTCTGTTGTTTTTTGTAACTGAAATCCTCCGTGAAGTTAGACAGTTATGAAGAGACTACAGTCTCATGTATCTGTACATAATCAAGATGTGAAATGGAGTAATTCCTGAGCTGTGAAACTCCACTGGGTCAGGCCAGGCTAGGTAACCAAAGCCAGAACACTAGTAATTATTGAGTGCCTGTGAAAGAAGCAGCCCTCACAGAACCCCTCTCCCCATTTTACATGTAAGGAAACAAAGGCTCAGAGAAGTAAGCTGGCTTGTCAATGTCTTGAGTTAGATAAGTGGTAAGTTTGACTCAATTCTGACTGGTTCTAAAGCCTATGGGAAAGAGGAAGAGGAGGCAGGAGTTGTGTGAAGTACAGTGGAGTGTGTTTGCCTAAGTAGACAGGCCACATGACTTCCCAAAGACTGCCTCCGTGACTGCTCAGACGTGTTGCTAGGAACATACAGCGGATAATGCGTGTGTGTTTGACCATGGTGCTGGAAAAATAACACCTGGGTTGGGCAAATTAAAAGTGACTGTTCTAGTCACCCCTGTAACAGCCTGGGATGTTGGGGGAGTGAAATGCTTCTCCATGATAAATACTGACAGTGCTCTGTGGCTGGTGAGGCTGGGCTTGGTGCAGTCTCCGGGAGCGCACACCTGTCAGCCTTCACTCGGTAACTTGTCCACCAGAGAGCTGCCCATGAGCAACTCCACATTGCCTGAACAGAATTTTGGACTTGGTCACTTCACCCAGCGCTGATCCATATTCAGAACAGGAGTCCCTCCTTCAAAAGCCTTTGACTGAACTGTTTTCCCCAAGCCCTCTAGAATTATTAGAAAAAAAGAACTCTGGAAATGAGCTGTCTTGTCAATACCACTTGAGCAGATTTGCTCACTAATTTCCATTTTTCCGGAAGAGTAAAGAAGAAAAAAAAATCATCCATTTTAGCCAACTTTATTTTTAGAAAAGTATTTTATTCAAACATCCCCTTACTTATTACAGACATAAATACATGCATTCAGACAAATGAATCCACGGGAGAACCGTATAAAGTAATTGGCACATCACTTCAGGATGCTTTGTCAGTTACTGGAGGAGTTTGGTGTCTCTAACTTTAATCTTTTCCATTAAAATATCCATTCTGCCTTCAGATTGTGAAGCCCATAATATTTTAGACTGTCTCCATGGATCTGTTAGTTTTGCTTGTCAATTTAATTTGTGGCTTTATGACTGTGGGTGGCTTGTTAGGTCGGACATGGAAACATGTGATCTGCAAATGATTTCAACATGCCAGACCTAAGACCTGGCCTCTCTCCAGAGGGACTGGACATACAGTAAATATGGAATTAGCAGATTTCACTTGCAACAAGCCTAAGTGTTTTGATGATGATGATGATGTATAGGATGACAGATGTTTAGAGCTACAAAGAAGCTCATTACTTTGGTATTACATACCTTAAATGTTTATAGCATTTTTTACTCTTTGCAACACTTTTTATATGCACCATCTCATTTGATTCTCAGAGCTTCGTTGTGCTGGCTTATTATTACCTCTTTATAGCTAATGAAACTGAGACACAGTGAGAGGGGTTCAGTAAGTTGCCTAAGATCACAGAGTAAATTGGATTTGCAAGAAGTGCCAGATAACAAAATCAAATGTGTTCCAAAACCAGCCAGGTCACCAACACCCAGTCAGGGGTGTGTGAGTGGTAGCCTTTGCCACATAATTGCCATTTCTCCTTCCCTTCTTTGGGGAAGGTTGTTCTGGAGCTGTGGAAACAGGACTAGAGGTAGGAGGCATAGAGTCCAAGAAGCAGTTCCATATGTGACAAAACTTGCTTCACCACCTCTTCCCTTGACCACCACAGCAGGCTTGTCCCTGGCCTCCCTCCTTCACTGTTACCTACACAGTACACACTCAACATGTCCCCAGAGGGGCCTTTCGTCTTCAGTACAAATCTGAGCGCAGCTCACCTTTGCTGCAGCCCATCACTGCTTCCAGCTTACTGGGATGAAATCCAGACTCCTCAGCATGGTCTTCAGCCTGGTGCCTCTCCTCTCCTGCCACATGAGTTCCTTACCTTTGCAGACTCCACTGTGCTCATGACAATTTTTTTTTTTTTTTTGGCTACTTTCTCTGTTCAGAATACATGTATGGTGAACTCCAAATATAACCTACTCTGTGGCATCTCCCCTGAGGACCCAGAGCCCAGAGGCATCCTTCCCTCTGCCACATGCCCAAAGTGCTTCACACCACTGTTGGGAGGTATCCCCTAGGAAAAGGCTAGGTCCCCAAGGGGGAGTCTGTGGTAGAGGCCTGAGTTCTCTTCCCTCCCCAGATGTTCTGCAGCCTTTGAATTTAAGAGAATGGATGAGTACATACACATAGGCGGGAGGGAGGGAGGGAATGAAGAATGAATAAATGAGGTATCTTTAACGACCTGAGCCAGCGGGAAATAGGAGACACCAAGGCCCATGGAACCAGTCCCATTCCTTCTCTCCAAAAGGGGCCAGAGAGATGTTGCCCCCTGCCCTCCTACCTCCCCCCTCAATCCCCCATAACACTTCACCAACCTCTTCGGTAGAATGAAAAGCAGAAAGATGAGCCGGGCTTTTGCCTAGTGTCCTAGCAGAGAGGAACACAAACCAGGCTGAGAAGCAGGACTGACCCTGTTGATCCTGCAGCCCCTGACTTCTGCCCATAAAGTCTTACCCAGGGAGCTGAAGGCTTGGCCAAGAGGCCCTGCAGGCAGCATGATAAGCTTCCCAAGTCAAAGCTGTTTGTCCAGGAGGAGTCCTTGTGACTCATGGCAAAATGTAGGGGTGACAGGCAAGCACACAGAAACCCTGGTGAGGGGGGCGGGTGGAGCTCCGAACCAAGGCCTCATTGTCTTGGCTTGACTCTCTGTCTCCTAGATGATGTCTGTCCTCATGAACACCATCGTCTTTGAAGACTGTCGGAACCAGTGGTCAGTCTCCAGGCCTCTCTTGGGGCTCATCCTGCTCAACGAGAAGGTGAGTGTTATCTCAGGAAGGTCCGAGAGGCCGTCCCCGACAGAAGGGAGAACGGGCCAGGTAATGTACCTGCCCAAGCTACGTAGCCTTGGGAAGGACAGAGGAGCAGAGCCAGCTGAACCTGGTGTGGGACTTTGAGGACTCAGAGCAAGGCTGTGATCCCCAGCAGGCCCTTCCCCATGGCGGCAGCTCGTCTTCAGTGAAGCAGAGGCCTCAACTCTAGCTTTTCTAGAATCAGAGCCCCAGGCACTGGGCTTGCTCACTCCCGTCCCCCAGAACAGGGAAATCCTGAGCAACTGCCCTTCTCACTCCTTGCTCAGCCTCCTTCCATACCCGGGTTCAGGTGGCAGCAGCCCCTCAGAACGTGCACACGGGGGCAGGTCGCCAGTGCTAAAGCGCATGCGCGCCATGGCTGGCCGCCGCTGAGCAAGCGTCCTGCTTCCTCTGGAACCCACCCTGTCTCCCCAGCAGTCGGTAGGAACAGTGCATTACTGCTCCAGAGAATGAATTGTCTATACAATAAGATAGTACTGGGGAAAAAGACAGTGAGATTAGAGGCAGCCGCATACATTAAAATTCAAACTGAAATCCCAGCCTTGGAAGGAAACTAATAGAAGAAGAAAATATATCAAAAAGAGAAGAGCTGTCTCATCATTCACCTGTGCTGAAGTATCCAATTTTAGCCACATTCAATAGCACTGTCATTCATCTTCCCGCGGTGTTATTGTGATTTAAATCCAAGCTCTATAAAAGAGAGCAGTTCTTTTAAAATGATTGAGAGGGAATAAGGGCAAATTCAGTGTTTAGAAAAAGCTTATGACATCACAATATTATACTTTACTGATGGAGGCAATATTTCATGGTTTGAGATGAAAAACTAATAATTTTCTATTTGGTGTGAGTCACTGCATCATTATAAAAGGGAAAAATAAGTAGTTTTGTGCATTCCCAATCTTGTTCAGGAAGACATTGTGGTTTAAGCGTAATGCCTCTGATATATCGTATTTAAGTATTAGACTGACTACATATTAATTATGTGTGTTTTTGATGTGAGCTGTTTTAATGTATGATGGAAATTAAATATCATGCTGTTTATGCTTGGAAGGATGAACACATGACTAGCAAAATGTTGTCTTTGTGCTAAAATTAGGCTGTTGCCAGTGATTAGGAGCTGTGTTTAGTGGAAGAGCTTGAATATGTATAAAAGCCCATGGGCCCAGCAGAAAGAGACTGTGGTTCTTTGTGACCAGGTGGGACAGCTATTTTTCATAGGGCCAGAAATCTCTCTCAGTACTAAGCAAGCCCCGTTGTATCTCCCCTCTCCCGGCAGAACAGACCCATCCTAACCCAGGAAGACAAGGATATAGAACAACAGTTGGAGTTGTTTGAGGAGTAGTTCACTAAAGCCATGGAGGATGGTGAAGCCTGAGGGAGGTCCCTGAACTTGCCTTCGGTCAGCCAAAGTGCTGCCCAGTCATTTTTCATTAACTCTTCCCCTCCGCCCATGAAGCCTTCCACTCTGTCTTTCTGTGGTTAGTGGAGATGACAGTCAGAAAGACTTTCATGTGCTCATTCCCCCACAGAGGAGAAGACTCCAAGTTGTATGATGACGATAGGATAATCATAGCAAGAAATTTTCATGAGAAACAGTAATACAGTGTATACCTAGGAATGTATGTTACTTTGGTTTTCTCTAAAGACTTAGAATTAGAAGTGGCCACTGGACAAAAGCACCTGAGAGTTAACATATAGTCCTGAGCAGATAGATAGAGCTGGCCCAACCCCTGAGCTCTGTACAGACCCAGGTTTGAAATTACAACTCTGATGTTAATTCTGTCTCCCTACAGTATTTCAGTGAACTGAGGGCAAGTCTGATTAACAGCCAGCCGCCCCCAAAGCAAGAGGCGCTTGACCAGTGCTTCAGGAACCTGATGGAAGGAGTGGAGCAGAACCTCTCCATCAAGAACAGAGACAGGTGAGCAGTGCCCCGTCATCTTGGCATCTCTGGGGGGGAAGGGGTTCAGGGTGAGGAGGCGGAGGGGTGGGGTACAGTGGGTTTCCAGATGTGTGCAATGGAACCAGAGCACACTGAATGTGGCTCCCTCGGTGGTATGAGCTTCCTGTTTACAGCTGGTGGTACCAGACCCAGTTTCATTCCCTCCAGTGAATAGCTGGGGATTTGCTTTCTTCCAAGCATCATGCTACGCTCTGTACAGGGCTGCAGAGATTAACAAGATGCAGCCTTTGCCACTTAGCAATTTATAACCCAACAGGAGAGACATAAAAAAATAAATGACTGAAAAGTCAAAAAAAGAAAAGCTACAATCTGAAGGCTGAAGAAAGCCTTCTTGACATTTGAACAAGTAGAGACTTTGGGGTCAAAGGAGTCCAGTGTAAATTGTATCCCCGCTCTTTCTAAGCTGTGTAGCAAGTTCTCCAAGCCTTACTTTTTTGACCATAAAATGATGAAAATTAGTTGTGATCAGTTTAAATATCAAAATGCTGTATGGCGTGGTACCTGGGATATATGCCAGCTGATAGTAGCTCCTTCCTCTGCCTTAGTAAGAGGCACTCTTAACAAGAGTGGCACTTGCCAGGGAGATCCAAGAGACAAGAACCCAAACTTATCAACTGTGTTTGAACTCATTCATTTGTTCATTCAGGTCACAAAATTTTATTGAGCATCTGCTCTCTGCAAGGCATTGGGAAATACTAGTGATGGATTGTTTAAGGTTTTTCACCCTCATGGAGCTTCCAGTGAAGGAGAAAGACAATTATGAATGACAGGTACAGGAAGTGTTTTCAGGGGGAAATTTGCCCACAGCATTCTTTTATAAAAGTGGTAAAATTGGAATGCTGTGCCACCTGCAATGCAAATCATCCGTCAACCTAGATCAGTCTTGTGGAGTCACCAAGTTAAGTTTTTGAAAGACACACAGTCAAGTTGGTTGACTGCGTATTCCATGCCAAGGCCCTGTCAGGCTGAAAGTGGCAATTTCCAAGCAAAAGAAGACACTTAATGAATGGGGAGATCCTAGGTGCCTCAGGGGGAGAATTTCTTCCCCTAAGGCTTTGTGATGACCACCTCCTGAGTGGCTCTGAAAAAGTGGTGACAGACAGCTCTCTGCATTTAAGGTGAGCACAAGCCAGTAAGGATGGTTTCCATGCACCAGGTGCCATGTAGAACATTTAAAGGTACTATCTCAAGTCACTCAATAAATTTACTTCCCATAATCCCATGAGGTAGCTACTCTTATTAGGCACCAAAATAAGAGGTTAAGGATTCACCAGGATCATCCAACTGAGCAGTAATGGGGCCCGGATCTGAACTCAGCCTAACCTAGTGTCCCTCTTTTTAAACATCAACTCCCTCATCCATAAATTGAAGATAGAAATACCTAGCTTGGAAAAGACTACTGATGATTAATGAATGGATAAGTAAACTCAGCCCAGTGCCCGCACATAAACTGCAGTTATTTTCTTTATATTCCTCACCACATTGGTATAATTTGACATTTAAAAAAACTTCTGAATAGTAGAACCACAAAATACATCCTTCAAAGTGCTTAAAGTATGTATTTGTCGGTAACCTTTGCTTCCATAAGGAGGTAACAGGGAGCGGATGCTGATGACAGAAAGTAATGACACTGACAGTGGAAAAAAGTTCAGCCAGCATCTAGGACCTCTCCAGGGTCCTGAACTCCACACCGGCTTTATCATCCAAAGGTTCATATAGCCTGGGTCTTGACACTGCCCTCGACCCTGTCTTCTCTTTACAGGTTCACTCAGAACCTATCCGTCTTCAGAAGAGATGTGGCAGAGGCCCTGCGCTGTGATGGCAGCACCGACCTGTGCAGTCTGGACATGATGAGCTGACCCCACTCGGACCATGTGCTGAGCAGCCTTTATTAAGAGACACTTGCGGGTCTGGGTCCCAGGCAGAGATGTGGGATAACTCTAGGGAATTTATTTTTCAAAACAAACAACAACAGCAAAAACCCTACCTTTTTATAAGTCTGGCCTAATGTAAGAATTTATAATAGTGCACAGTGTAAATTCGGTCTTTGCTCTGGAAAAGCAAAAGATGTGTTTTCAGCCTTTCTATAAAGTATCATTATCTTTGTTCTTATAATGCTCTGAAAGGGTGTAGAAACAATGTTTAACCAAAGAACATAATAAACCAGGTTTGCACCTAGGTGTGTCCTAGTTAATGCTGCAATCAAGGTTGTGAATTTGTGGGCGAGACAGTTTTTACATGGGTCCTGGGTTGAGACAAATACCTTCTGAACCCGTTAAATTAGTAGCTTGCTGTTGGTCTGGGAGAGGCAGCCTGGGGGATGCTGAGCTGTGGGCACTCCGCACGAGCCTGGGAGCTCTCCTCAGCATCCCACGGGACTACACACAGTCCTCTCTGCCGCAGCAGCATCTGATAAAGTTGAGAGACAGTAACACAATTAAATGACTTACAAACAACGTTTGCTTTTCACTGGCATAAATCTGAAGTGGTTCAGTCTAGAAGAATTAAGCAGTGCAATTACTGCCTGCAGAGATAGTTCTTCAGAAGGCATCAGGCAGCCCCAGCAAGTTCTGAGTGGTGCTGGCACCCAGGCCTTCTGCCTCCATGTTAAGAGAGGCAGCAAGTGTCTAATTAAAATGCATATTTGAAGCCTCTGCCTTCTTGGGCCACCCAAGACAATACTAGGTGCTAAAGAGCTTGAGGATGAGGAATGGTACAGTTCCATCCTTCCACAAAAACACGTTACTCATTGGTACTACAAATAATCCAAACGCAGGACGCAAAGGAGGCGTCACAGTCTGTGATCGACATCACGAGACTGTTCACTGGAGGTGGCCACTGGCAGTGGCTTTCATGTCTTCCTTCTCTGTCTTCATGGTTCAGGCTTGCAATAAGGATTGTGTCTTTATTTCTGTGAGGACATGAAAGATACTCCTGACCATGGAAGAGTAGACTCAATGGCTGCCATTATAATCATGTTTCTCAGGCTTATGTTTGCTGAAACCTTTCTTGATAGTTGTGTTTTGCAACAGGTTTGTGACATAAAGGAGGGTCACCCAGGTTTATCTCAAAATGTGTGAACCCAGGAAGTCAGGGGAAAGCATGTTACCAAATAGTAACCTATGGTGTTCAGCTCCCACCAGCCTTGCCCAGGGCCCAGGTGACATCTCCCTTAGTCCTCACACAGCCCTGGGAGGGTACAGGGTAGAGAGAGTGGCATTCCTACTTTTCAGGTAGGGAAACAGTCTCACAGGTGGAGAGTGGCTGGCACAGATCACACAGGCAGGACTTGAGCTCAGATCTGTCTCACTTCAGAGGAATTCCTGGACTCTCTCTCACATGGAAGACTTTTGAGATGGTGGGTTGAAAGTAGTTACTATTTACCTCCATTTCCAGAAATTCATGGCTACATAATTTACCCAACGTACAATGGCTTAGAACAACATGGATTATGCCACAGTTCCCAGATAAAAGAAACCCATAGGCAGGCTTCTGCTCCAGGCTGCTGGCCAGGTCTGCCCTCATCGCAAGGCTGGACAAGGGGAGGATCAGCCTCAGCTCACTTGGGGTCATCAGTAAGAGTCCGCCTCCCGTGGGTGGAAGGGTGAGAGCCTGTGCCTTGCCAGGCAGGCCTCCGCACAAAGGGCATCTTGCTTCATCAGAGCAAGCCAAAGCACGGGACCTGTGTTCAAGCAGCAGTCTGGAAATCACCAGCTCCTAGAAGTCTATCTCAAAGGGGTAGCAAGCACCCCAGGGGCGGATTACATGAGGGCAACAGCACCAGAGGTAGGTAGGGTTCCTAGGGCCCCTGTCAGGGCCACCTGCCCACAACCCATATGGCCTTTGTAGAGAGGTTGGGTGTCTCTGGAGAAACTAGGAAAGGATCCCTGACTTTCGTTGGAGGTCTAGATCCCCTTCTGAGGAAGGGGAAGGGAGTGGGGTTGCAAGGTGTTTAAAGAGCATGTTAGACTGAACATTCACCCCCCAACCCTGCGTAACCTGTGCATCCCCCCTCTCCTAGAGTCTGCAGTGGTCAGGGTAGTGGGGGGTCCTGGGGACAACCTGGAGGCAATGTGGGAGGTCTCTGGAGGGACAGTCAAAACTTGAAAACAGCATTCAAGGGCACACCCAGGTCTGCAGAGGCCACACCAGAGAAACTCATGGCCCCATTAAATATTCTAATCAAATCTCAGTGTATCCAACACACACTAAGCAACAGGAACGAGATAGTGGGGCAGTTCCACGGGGCAGCCTGGAGTGAGGACTGGACCAGGCCAGCACAGCTCATCCTCCAGGTGGGATCCTTGTGTGCTGACACATCACCAGCCAGCGAATACGGATCAACTGCTTCCGCTGAAGTTCAGGAAAACAGCACTACGTTTCTACACTGGCCTCAGAACCTGAGCCTGAGAAGCCTGCAATCTGCCTATGTTCCTCTTTTCTGTGCTTGCCAATCAGGCTTTTCTGAGCTGGGCAAGGAAGGGAGTGAGGGAGCTCAAGATCCTGGCATGATGGGTGGTGACCTGAGCTCAGAAGAGCCTGCCTGGCCCCCAACTCCTATGGGGCCCTGACAACCTAGAAAATGTCTCTGAGTTGTGGCCCTGGAGGCCCCAGGCAAACGGGCCTGGGTGATAGCCATTAAATTAGTTTAACTATCAACAGCGGAGCTTGAGAACAAAGGCCAGGCTAGGTTTGGAGAGAGAAATCGGGAAGTGAAAGGGCTGGCTCTGGGCAGGGGGGTGACTTATCTCAACAGAGACTAGCCCAGCAGGCTGGGGGTGGGGGTAGGAAACAGCATCTGAGAAGACAAGGCTCCTAAGGCGAGGAGGAAGCACTGAAGAGGAGAGCAGGGCAGAGTGGAAAAGCAAAGTGGGTTTCAAGATGACCATTAAATAATTCGAACCACTGTCGCTGAGTGAGCACTCACCAAGAATAGCAAATTGCTACCACATTCAAAACTTCCAATAAGAATGTTGTTTATTAATTACCCCATTTTAGAGATGATAAAACTGAGACTGAAAAACAGACCCGAGGTCGTATAGCTAAAAAGTGGACAAGCCAGATTTCAAAATCAGGTCAGTCTCATCCTACACCAGAGACTTCATAACGGGTTTGGGGGCCAGGACAGGGAAGGTGGCGATGAGACCCTTGGGGATCCCCCGTGGGGCTAGGAACACCCAAAGAAAGCCCAGTCCAATGTCTGGGCTTCTTGCTTGCTGTGTCTGTGGGTTCTGCCACCGATTCATCCTCCTCCCTGAACTTTATAAAATCATTCTTGAGACTTTTTAATGTTTTATTGAGGTGCAAGTTTACGATGACAGCAAACCTTTCAAACTACAGCGAGAGTAACCTGCCTCCTTGGCATATTAAAAAATAATGTTAGTGTCGGTTTTTACGTCCCATAGTTTGGATTGCTGATAAGAGCGCTTCCTTGACAAGATTCTTTTTGAGGTTTACAGAAAGCGTAATAAAATATGTAAGTTACATTTCCACAAACAAAAGCTATAACATAAGTTATTTATAAGCGTGAGATACAAACAGTATCACGATAAATAAACCATAAAGGGTACCTGCAACATCCATCTTAATGTAATTTGCCCAACAAAAGTGTTGAAACGAAGTCAAATTTAGTAGAGGAATCTGTCAGGAAGAAAGGAAAGTTGTAGAACACAAAATGGGAAAAATGGGCAGAAGGAAAGAAGGTGTGGGACGGGGTCAGGAGGCCCCTGAGGAGGCCACCACCTATGCTGGCCCTGGGCTCCCACATGCACTGCCCCCCTCCCTGCATGCACCCCCATCAGCACACTGCTGCCCTCTGCATCTGCCGCCAGCCACTGCCCCCCCCCCCCCAGGGAGAAAGGAACCTCTGCTTCTCCCTTCTCCCTTCCTGTCTTAACAGTTCCAGCCCACCCCACCCCCACCCCAGGGGCCCACCCCCACCCCAGGGGCCACTTCCCCAGGCTGCTGCCAGGCTGGTGAGGCCTGGGTCTGACACAGTACACGGATCCTGAAAATCATTCGTTCACTCATTCATTCACCTGTCATAAAGCCGTAAATGAGACAAAACCTCCACTTTCAGAGCTGGTAGGCAGGAGAAATGAGATGGGTTCTGAAAGCCACCAAGGGCAGCCATGAAAATAAACGGGTGGCGAGTGACTGGGCCAGAGGGCAGTGACCTGGTGCTACTGGAGGCAGCATCTGCAGGAGGAGCTGGGGCCGGAGGGCTGCCCTGAGCACCCCGTATTTCTGGATGCTCTTCTGCCCCTTCTCCCTGTGCCCTCAGCTGACCTTGCTGTGGGCTGCTCTTCAGCTTAATGGATGATCACCCTCCAGGGAGGCAGGCCCTGTGCCCAGCCCTGGGCCATGGAGTCAAATGCTGACAACACCGTTCTGCCCTGGCAGCACTGGGGGCCAGTGGGGGAGACGGCAGTGACCCTCCATGGCCAGCACTCCTCCCCCACCCCAGGGCTCTGAGTTCCTTCACCCAATCCCTCCCAATACAACACTGCTGTGACCTAGAATCCTCACTACGGGGTCACAGAGTAGACATGGGGAAAATAGGGAAAGGGAAGAACTGGGTAATGTCCAGTCCTAGATTCAGTCCCAGCCAGGCCTTCCCGCTGCATGCCCCTGGGTCAGAGGCATCATTTCCCCAAGGCAAGTCAGGACCCAGAGGGACGGGAGGGTGCTTGTGGTGCCAGCTCCAGGTGGGTTTTTCCTGCCTGCCAAAGCCAGACCCTTTCCAGCCACCAGGGGAAGGTCTTGTCCTGAGGAAGAAGTGCTAAAGAGTTCAGGTTGCATCACTCCCACTGTCAGATGAGGAAACTGAGGCACAATATAGAAAACTTGAATTTACTCAGTAAATTTGGGGTGAATAAATTCCAGGCAGGTCTTTAGAACCTTCCATCCTGAGGCTAGGAAAGGACCCTGGAGATTTCTAGTTAAGATTCGAGAATCAAGATGTGGGCAAGGGTGAGTGAACAGCCTGTAGCCTGGTGTTTGTGGCAAATTATGCCTGTGAGTCTTTCTCTAAGGAAGTTGGCCATTGTATTGCCGCCAATCTTTCAGATAGGATTACTGGCCCACATGTAATACAACTTCTACCCCATTTCACAGATAAGGGAAGTGAGGCCCAATCACACAGGAAGGTAACAGCAGAGTGAGCCTGAATATAGGAGCCTCCTGCACAAGGACAGCAGGGAATCCCTGCCTCTCCTCAGAGCCTCCCCCCCCCACCCCCCCCCGCCATCTACAGCCAGGCCTCCACCAGCTCTACCCCTTCTCCTGGCTTTTTGGGGGGATGGAGGGGTGCATATAGAATACGCTACATCTTGGAAGTCTTTCTGGACTGAGGAGTCCAAGCCCCTGATTCCCCATTCTTAGAATTCTCAGTTTCTATTCTGGGTGGGTGTATCTGCCTCTGTCATTGTTCAGTGGGTGGCCAATAAAAAGACATCAAAGTATTATAGTCTCAGGAGCACCAATGCATATCAAAGTCTATTTGGCCAAACAGTATTCAGAGAAAATGGTGTGCCCTTGAATGTGTTCATTTAAAAATAAAACTGAAAAAATCAACAAGAATGTAAACTGTTTTTGCCTCAACAAAGAAGTAAATTAATAAAAATAGAACAAAAATTCCCATAAGAAATGACATAGGGCCTCCCTGGTGGTGCTTAAAGAAAATGCTATCGAGCTATTGCAGCATGAGTTCGATCCCCTGCCAGGGAGTTGGCCCACATGGTGCAGCAGACCTCTCCAGTCTCTGCTGCTCCCCTCAGCAGTGTATTTCACTGGATCAGCCAGTTCTACTCCCCACTCTGTCTCTGGTGAATCCTCTCACCCACCACATCTCTGGCCCACACCCCAGTTCTTATATGCATAAATAAATCACTCTTTATTTTTTAAAAAAATGACATACAAAAGAGGGCCGTGAAATACAAGTCTTATCTTAGAACCAATCCAATAAATAAAACTTCACCAACTGTGATCAAGAGAAAGGAGAGGTGCAGAACACTGAGTAGAAGGTACAAAGGACGTCAGCCCTGATGCACATGAGAGTTTCAGGTAATAAGGCCCTCCCTGGAGGTGCAATGGGTTAAAGGGCAGCACTATGAAGTCACTGCAGCACAAGTTTGATCCCTGGCCAGGGAGGTGACCCACATTGCAGATCTCTCCTGACCTGCCCGCTGCTCCTCTCCAGCACTGTACTTCAGTAGATTGGCTGTTCTGCTCCCCACTCTGTCTCTGATGAATCCTCTCAACCCCACCACCACATCTGGCCTGTTCTTGTATGCATAAACAAATCTTAAAAAAAAAAAGTTTCATTAATGAAAGAACCTTTTTCACAACACACTGGAAAGCTTGCAAGGGATGGACGGGGATCCAAGCACTGTCTTCCAGATTTGAGCCAGCATCAGAATCACCTGGAAGGCTTATTAAACACAGCTTACTGAGTCCTACCCTGAGTTTCTGATTCTGTGGGACTGGGTTGGGGCCCAAGAACTGCATTTCTAACAAATTCCCAGGTGATGCCATGCTGCTGCTTCAGGAACACACTTTGAGAACCTCTGACCCAGGTTTACTACCTGGCCCAGGCACTCGTCCCTTACTGAGCTTGCTTGGCAGCTCAGTTCTGTCTGGACTAAGAGAGAAAGAAGGTCTGTGATCAGGGACCCAAAGAACTTACTGCTGGGAGACCAGTAGACCTGGATTTTAGGCAGCCAGTTCCACACTGTGAGATGGAGTCTGGATGCCTGCCAAGTATTGTACCCAATGCCTTCACCCAGATGCTCTCATTGGCACCGTCACTTTGTTAGATGAGGAAACCGAGGCACAAAGAAGCTGAATATTCCTTGAGCCCAAGCTGGTAGTAGAGGTGGGGCTACAATTATGAAGCCCTGGGCCATACACCATCCCTAGGAGCCAGGTCAGCCACAGCACCCACATCCTCTAACTCATGCCCACACACCCACCCAAATTAACAGAGCTGGATAGTGGCAAGGACAGGTCTGGAATTCTGGGCTGTGGCAGGAAGGGAAGGAAAGAGCACTTTATGAGCAGGGGGATGAATCTCAGTAACACTCTGAGCCCCAGCTCCCTCCTCACCTACAAATGGGGGTCAATAATGGCCCTTTCTTCAGTGGGCTATTGTGAGCAAGAAGTACCCCCCCCCAACACCCGCATGCATGCACAGACATACACACGCACCAAGTGCTCAACTCTTGGTTATGCTACTGAGTTCTGTAAAGTTATTATTATATAACCACCGGTTTCTCACAGACCTTGTCTCATTTACTTCTCACAGCCACTCTGGGGGTAGCTATTACCCTTTCTGTTTTATAAAGAAGGAAAATGAGGCTCCAGAAGGAGCAATGAGGAGCCCAAGAGCCCCCAGACAACCAGTGGCAGAGCCTGAATTAGAAGCAGGAGGCCCCCAGAGCCAGCAGTGGCACAGGCTCTATCTGAAGTTCCACCCTCCTCCCCCAAAAAAGGAGGGCCTGCCCCAGACTCGCTGCTCTTCTCCCTCCCCACAGCCTAGCAGCCTTCTTCTCCCCAGATGCTGGCCCAAGGACACTCAGTGACTGTGACCAAACTCAGGAACCCAAACTTTTAAGTAGCAAACCATGAGGCCTTTCCATTGGGACTGGAGACAGATTATTCTCCTGCCCTTTCTGGTCTTCTGAGACTGCCCCACCCTATAGGCCAATTCACCCTTTTCTCCCTGCAAGATTCTGAGCCTCTGCAAAGAAAACAAAACTGCAAACAAACAAGAATCTTAAGGCTAATAATACATCAGCTACCATGCTAGGGCGAGAAGGGCAGCAGAGCTGGGTGCCAGCTGGGTGCCAGGCCCCATGCTCTGCACTCTCTCAGTAGATCTCTCAGACTCCCCACAACCCCACAGTACATGTTGCCCATTTTACAAATACGAAAACCAAACCCTGAAGATCCAGAGTTACCTGCACAAGAGCACTAAGCAAGGCAGTGCCCGCTTCAGTGCAAATACACTCTGGCTGCCCTGCACATCCCAACTGTGACCAGTTCCGCAAACAAGAAGCCTGGCCAGGGTGCAGTAGCCAGTTTGCGCCTAATGAGTTTCAAGTTTCAAAATCACAGCAATCAAATGATTCTCTATGTCCCCCAAGGGACACAACTTAGACAGGCGCCTCCGAGGGTGAGTGCCCTGCACTCAGACATCCACCAGGCTCCTAGGCCCACCTGGACAGACCCAGGGTGGGGGGCGAGGAGGAGCCTTCACAGCGCCCAGGCTGGACTGGAGCAGCTCTGGTTGCCCAAAGAAACCCGCTATTAGTTCTAAATTAGAGCTGTCCACTCCCTTGCTCCTAGGAAACACTCTGTGTGCTCCTTGCTCACATCTGCCGAGCATGGGTCGGTCCCCAAGCACGACCACAAGCCGGTACATTATGCAACGAATTCGAAAGGCCGGCTCCCGGCACCCATCCTGGAGACCCCGAGTCCTTAGCCCAGCCGGACCCGCCACGCGTGGGCACCTGCGAGTCACGACTCAGTCAGCCGGGAGCAAGTCAGGGAGTGTCTTCAAAGTGGCCGAAGCCCGGGTAGGGGCGAATTCTCCCCACGCGGGTCAGAGTCCAGGCGAGCGCAGAGCGCGCTACGAAGCTCCCCTCACCCCGCGCGCAGGGAGCACAGGGCTTGCGCCCCAAGGTACGCCCCTTTCGTTGCTCTCGCGGCGAGTGTCCAAGACGCTTCCACAGATTCCTCAGGATCGTTCAGGGTTCCAACTCCACTGTAATCGAAAGAATTCATAAGGTTTGATTTTTGCTCAGATGAAAAAAAATTGGTAGAAATCGAAAAAACCCTCAGCAAGGGACAATTTCGCAAGCCGAGCGTCCTGTCGGCCCCGCGCGGCGGCCGGGAAGCGACCCGGGCCTGGGAGGAGCGGGGAGCGTCTGCTAATTGCGGCTTCGTTAGATTTCGGGTTTGGGAGGCTGCGGTTCGGGCGCTAATATCCGCCGCCCATTATCCCGGCTAATAAATTTGACCTATTGTTCGTTTGTTAAAATGATGTCACCTTGGAACAGTCCCTAAGCTCCTATTTCCATGAATTAGGCCTTTATTGAAAGCCGGGAGCCAATGGGAGGAGAGAGGCTTGTTGATCGCAGCCAATGGCTGCGGCGGGAGAGGAATTAGCAGCGGAAACTCCAGGTTCGGTTCAAGAAAGATGACACAGAGCCTGTCGGGCCCGCGCACTCTTGGCAAAGTTTCAGTGCGACGAGAGGCGCCGGGCGCTCCATGGCCGCGCCGTAACGGGGACCCTGCCGCCTCCCCGCCCAGCCCAGCCCAGCCCTTCCGCCCGCCCAGGATGGAGGCGCCCGCCAGCGCGCAGACCCCGCACCCGCATGAGCCCATCAGCTTCGGCATCGACCAGATCCTCAACAGCCCGGACCAGGACAGCGCACCAGCCCCGCGGGGCCCCGACGGCGCCAGCTACCTGGGAGGGCCCCCCGGGGGCCGTCCGGGCGCCACGTACCCGTCTCTGCCCGCCTCTTTTGCCGGCCTCGGCGCGCCCTTCGAGGACGCGGGATCTTACAGTGTCAACCTGAGCCTGGCTCCCGCCGGCGTGATCCGGGTGCCAGCGCACAGGCCGCTGCCCGGGGCCGTGCCGCCGCCTCTGCCTAGCGCGCTGCCCGCCATGCCCTCCGTGCCCACGGTTTCCAGCTTAGGTGGCCTCAATTTCCCCTGGATGGAAAGCAGCCGCCGCTTCGTGAAAGACCGTTTCACAGGTGAGCAAGGAGGGTGAACTGGCGCCGGGCCTCAGCCCCTACTGGCCAGGGGCGCCTCGCCCTAAGTGCCCCATTCTCCGAAACGATTCCCAAGATCCTAGAGCGGCAGAGGCCCTAGCGCCCAGGGGTCCGGGAAACCGTGTGTGGTGGGTGGGGGTGGATGGGGAGGTAGCGGAGTTTGGGCGAAATACACCTGTGCCCAAGGGACAGGGGAGCGCATCTCCCAGACATCTTTGGTGCCGCTGGGGTCGCGCGGGACCAATGAAATAGCCAAGCACTCTGCGCCCCACGGGGCGTCACAGGGTCCGCCTGGGGCCCGAACGGCAATGGAGCCGGTTTGGGCTGCAGGGAGCCTACTGTGTCTCCGCAGCGGCGGCGGCGCTCACGCCCTTCACGGTGACCCGGCGCATCGGCCACCCCTACCAGAATCGGACACCGCCCAAGCGTAAGAAGCCGCGCACATCCTTTTCTCGGGTGCAGATATGCGAGCTGGAAAAGCGCTTCCACCGCCAGAAGTACCTGGCTTCGGCCGAGAGGGCGGCGCTCGCTAAGTCCCTCAAAATGACGGACGCGCAGGTCAAGACCTGGTTCCAAAATCGGAGGACCAAGTGGCGGTGAGAGAGGCCCGGCCCTGTCACCTAACACCCGCCCTTCACTTCTCCCCGCACCGCAGCATCGCACTCCCCCACTCCAGTGCTACCCCTCTAGTCTCCCTCCCTGCGTCCAAGTCCCCCCTTTCCTTCCCAACTGTATCTCCCTTCTTCAGTCCTGAGCGTCTCCTCCATTCCCACCCCTGAGTCGCTCTTGAACCTCTAACTCTCTGGCTGTTTCATCCCGTCTCATTCTTTCTGCACTCGCTCGGTTTCTTCTCACCAGCCCCCCTGCCTCCACCCTACCCCGATCCTTTCCCACGGCCCCCTCAGCTTTTGCTCGGGGCTCTTCCTCTCAAATTTCCCACCATCGGCGTCGGGCCCGGGTTCGCTCCCTAGCTCTCCGTCCCAACTCCAGCGCGGTTTCACACGGAGCTTGTTTCGACCCAACCCGTAAACGACGAAGCGATCCGTGGAAGCGGGGTTCGAGACGGGGCCTGGGAGAAGTAGATGCGATGATCGTGTCAGGGACGACGCGAGGTGGTGCAGAGGCAGCCTGCCCACCGCGGACCCCAGTGGCCCTGCTGCCCGCGGGGCCCTGGCGGTTGCACATACGCTCTGCTCTTGTTATACGGCAAAAGATAACAATCTTTTTTTGCTGTTGTTGGCGAAGCCACAATACCCGGCGTGCAGGTGGGCGGCGAGCAGAGTGCCCTCCGGGCGACCGCCCTGCTCACAACAAAAACAAACAATCCCAACCTACTCCATGGTCGCACGGGCCCGGGGCAGACGGCGCCGGCCGGGAGGCAGACGGGCTTCGCGCTCCGAGGCTCCCGGCTGGCCTCTCGGCTCCTGGGAGGGCTGGGCCCCCGCCGGCGGCCCCGCGGTGCCGCGTGCATGACGGTGCTGTCCCTCTCCCTCCCCCGGTGCAGGCGGCAGACGGCGGAGGAGCGGGAGGCGGAGCGGCAGCAGGCGAGCCGGCTCATGCTGCAGCTGCAACACGACGCCTTCCAAAAGAGCCTCAACGACTCCATCCAGCCTGACCCGCTCTGTCTGCACAACTCGTCGCTCTTTGCTCTGCAGAATCTGCAGCCCTGGGAGGAGGATAGCTCCAAGGTCCCCGCCGTCACCTCTCTGGTGTGAGCCACCAGCGCGCACTGTCGCCGAGGATCGTCGCCCCCACCTGGCGAGGCGCCTCGGGCCCCAGCCGGGCTGGGGGGAACCGAGGCCGAGAGGGGAAGGGGCCGCCGAGCTCTAGCGGGCCCCGGGGCGCGGCTGCATCCCAGCCGGCCACGGATGGGGGCTGGGCCCGGGCTCCGCGCGGCTGCACAATCCGAGCCCCCGTCCCGCGCCCCGTCCCGCCCCAGGCCTGGGCCTGACAAAGAAAGCGCCTTACGTTTCTCCGCCCTTCGCCCGCACCCCCCGGGCCGGGCGCCTGTATTATACTTTGTACTTTTGCCCAAACGTGTAAATAATAAAAGTTTTGGCTTTTTTCTTTAGAATCCGGCCAGCTGCTTCCCCGCGGGGGCCGCTGGAGGAGGGTCGGTCGACCAGGCGGTTGGGGGAAGCGCCAGGGGCTGGAGTACCCTGAATTTAGGCTGGGTACACTCCTCTCCTTTTCCGTTCCTTTTATTTAAGTCGTTTTATTTAATAAAAAAGTTAGCTATTTCACTTAACGCCGCTTTTATTTCGTTTTCGTTCCAATAATGCTCGGTGAACCCCTGCCCTGCGCCCCACCCCTACGCCGGTGGAGGCCGAGCGGCGCTGCGCTGGGCGTGCCCACTTCTCCAAGCTTCCTGGTACTCGCTTCAACTCGAACCCCGGCCCGGGGTCCCGCGGAGGATCCGCGGTGCAGGTCAGTGCGTAGTCCTCGGCTGCAGTCTGGGAGCCGCGGGGTGGCGTGGATTTGGGAAGGGTGTTCTAGGCCCAGAAGTGGAGAGCCAGCGCCGCGGAGATCTGGGAGAGAAAGGCTCCCGTCTGGGCGGCTCTTTAGGCCATCACTAGGTCAGGATCTCGAGCTTCTCAGAATGTGGAGCCACTCTCCTGCGCCCGACACACACAACTCTAACCCGCTCTATGCTCCCTTTTTCCAGCGAGGCCTCAATGAGGCCCTGGGCCCGACCCACTGGACCTGGCTATGGGAGCTTGTCTGTGACTGTGCGAGGGCCGTGCGGCAGAACCCGGGGCGTCCTGGGTCTCCGAACACAGAGCGTCTGGGGAATAAGTGCACTGCACAGCCCTCAGATGCCCGCGTCTCCTGGGGGTTGGCCTGGGATCTCAGGTGGATCGTGACGTCACGTGACGTCACTGCAGCTGACGATGCGTGGATGGACAGAACGGGGCGTGTAGCTTAGAATGCCCAGAGCCACTAGGCCAGGTGTGAAAGAGGCGTGACCCGGGCTCGCCCAGCTTTACCTTGGCGCAAAAGTTTCAGAATCATGGGATCCCTAGCCAGGGGCACTTCCAAGAATTACACTCTCAACGTTTCCTCCCGCTCCTTGATAATTTTCAACATTCTCCTTTTTGGTCTTCAGAAGCTTTCATTTCTGGTCTTCACGTTTCTTTCTCTGCGGTGATCTATTTCCTATTTGTTCATCTTGTTCCCTGTGTTGCTCTGTTTTTATTTCTTTCCTTCACTGCTTTGTGTGTCTCTAAATAGTTCGTGCTCTTTTGAGTTTAGTTTCCCTGACTCTATCTTCCCTTGCTGTATCCTGTCTTCCCTCTTCCTCTCTGTTTCTGACTCTCATTTCCTCTGTGTCTAGGTTTCTCTTCCCTTCCCTCCTCTCTCAGTGTTGTATATTCCTCTTATCTCCCGGCCTCACCCTCTCCTCTCAATTTCCCTCTTTGCTCCCTCTATCTGGATGTCTTCTCCAGGCTGGGCTCCTGGAGGCTGACCTGTAAGCAGCTGCCCACTGTGCTTATAGCAGCCCCACCTGCATCACCCCACTGACTCCCTGGGGTGGAGGGGCTTGGATACCACACTGATGATTAGGGTGTTTGTGTTATTTCGTTGGAACCGGACTGCAATTGACTGTGCTGGTTGGGCTTGAGGAAGGAGAGGGAGTCTAGGACACAGCTAGCGCTTCAGCCTCCAAGCCCTACTGATGTGAATCTGGGTGCCTGAGGATTTATTTGTTAGTCCAGAAAAGGGCTAGAGTGGCTCTAACGCTTTGGGTGTCTTCTGTGGGTGTTTTCCCAAAATGCTTCCATTTTCTCCAGTAAAAGGCCGATTAAATGCCATCTTCCTTGAGATAGAAAGATTGGCCTTTTGCTGGCCGAGAAGCCCTTACCTCGGAACTGGCCTCGCTTTTCAATTTCCTCACGTTTATTCTATTTCCTCATGATAAGGCTTGGTGAGTTTTTTTTTCCCTAAATTACAGTGTTGTTTAGCCAGGGTGATTCTCAATTCTTGGGCCTCTTTGGGATACATAGGTCTTTTTCTTTCTCCGTAGTGCCTCTCTCTGTGTTAATGTCCTCTGGCCAAGAGGCCTTGTGGTATGGGTGGTCAGGCCCGCACAGGACAGGAGCCTGGTCTGGCTGCAGCCTTTGGGGGGTCAGCATTACCCCCCTCTGTAACCTTCCTCCCAGACAAGTTTGCCCAATCAGAGATGGGTTAGGAGTTTCTTTGAGTTGGAGGTCTGAGCCCACTTGTGAGGGCCTCTTGTGACCATCTTTCACCCATGT